TTCATTAATGTTTCATATGCTTCTAAAGAAGGTGAGCCAAAAACTATTGATAAAGCGGTGTATGAAATAAAAGCATCAACGACGAAATTGAATTCGTTAACTTTTGACGGTGATAGTTTCGTTAATGACATAACATCGGGGAAAACAATTTTAACGAAAGAATACTTAAAATCTCATGTTAGTGAGTTCGTTGAAATTGAAAAAGAAGGTGGAATTAAGTTCGATCCACTGAATTTCATTTTCAGCTTAGCGAATGCGGGTGTTAGTTTCGCTGAATGGACAACTATACAGAGTGAAATAAATGCAATATGGACGTTTTTGGGGTCAAAAGCGGGAATGGGTGAGCTTGTAAATGCTGCAAGAACATTAGGTGAAACAGGAAATTTTGTAGATGGTTTTAAAAGACTTGTTTCAAATGTTTTAACAAACACAAAGAAATTATTTAGATATACCATACATAACGGACGGATTTTCGAACAGGTAGCAACAAACCCTCCGGTTATGGCTGCGTTGATGATGGTTAGAGATATAAAACCACGTAACGACGGGAACGAAGAACATGAACAACAGAGCCCAACGGGCTCAGAGCCACATAGTGGCGAGGATACTGGTCGGGTTATTCAAGACATTAAAAACGTGTATCCTGAAGTTATTGATTTATTTAGAGGAGTTAATGATTCGATTTCAAATCATTCTATAACCCTCGATGAAGAGAATAAATTAACAGATTATATATTCGTCATTATTGCAGAACTAATGAAGAGAATAAATGAAAAAGGAATTGGTGATATCATTAATGTCAGCGATGTAATGATGAAAAGAAATTTTGACTCATTATTTACAAAACCGAAAACAGAATATAGTCTTTATGACGTAATTACCGAATTAATGAAAAAGATTAATGATAATAAGAGTTCTGGCGGAAGAGTTGAATTAGAAGTGAATGATGTTAATGAGAAATTAGCCGAAAAAGCAGATAAAAACCATGTTCATTATATAACTTCAGACGAACAGATTATAACGGACTACCATGGATATTTAACACGAAGTGATGAAGCGAAGACAAAAAATGTTAATGAAAGAAGATATAAATACATTCGTGCTAAAGGTTATGACATACACTGTACTGTACAGTATGATGTAGCTAAAGCACCAGAAGCATTTGGTTATACCGGTGAAATTTATGCCTCTACTTTCAATGTTAATGGTGTATTAGTTGAACCAAGATTTACTTTGAGAGTTAAGTCAAAAATAACGTTTGAAGATGCTATTAAAAGTAAAGCTGACAAAGATGAACTTGACGCAATGAACAAAGTTTTGAAATCTCATAAACACAATATCTCCGATATAAATGAACTTCAAACTTCTTTAGACAGTAAAGCCGACAAGAACCATACACATAACTCCTTCACTACTGTTAGAGCAGACGACATAATATTGAACTTTGATTTGGGTTCAAGTGCACCATTAGAAAATCCAAGTACAAGCGTAAAAGATACTCTTAACAATTTAGATAAGAGTTGCAGGAATATCGAAGGTCATGCCAGAAACTTTGAAGCATATGAACTACCAGCAATGTTAGATAAGAAAGCAGACAAGAACCATACACATACAAGTTTTACAACTGTTGCTATAGAAAGTATTGAAGGAACGGTTGAAGAAACTGGTGGGGATGTATTATATTGTAAACCTCCTAACTTTCCACAAGGTTTAACATCGGATGACGACATAACGACGATGAGAAACATTAGATGTAAAGATGTTTATGTCATGAAGGATGAACATAATATTAAATTCACTGCTCAAGATTTATATGACAAGAAAGCAGACAAAACAGAGCTTCAAACATTAAAGACTCAGATTCTTCAAACATTATATCCTATAGGCTCTATTTATACGTCAATGAACTCAACAAATCCAGCAACAGTTTTAGGTTTTGGTACATGGCAGCAGATTGTAGACAAATTCTTATACTGTGCTAACTCTTCAAAGCAAACAGGAGGTTCGAAGAAAATTACTGAAGCAAACCTTCCACCGCACACTCATACAGGAACTACAAACACAACAGGTAGTCATTCACATTCAATAACAAAAAGAGGTTATACAAATCTTGCAGCAGGTTCGGATAGACAGGGAATGCATAGATATGATATTTCAAGTGACCCAGTAGATTCAAGCGCAGGTATTTTCTGTGGAACCGCAGGAAATCATGCCCATACTTTCACAACAAATCCAACAGGCTCGGGTGCAGATTACATGCCACCATTTGTGACTGTATTTGCATGGTACCGCGTTCAATGAACGCGCTTGAGCCTAGAATAAAATCTTTATTTTTACATAAATGAGCTTGAAAGAAGTATTCGAACAACATCCATGGAGGTCATTTAAGAAGTTCAATGAAGCTGCAAAGAGTTCGGGATTTACTAACAGAGCTGAAGTTAAAAAGTTCTTTGACAAAAATGTTGTACATCAAACAAAAATAAATCCTTACGACTACTTTTTACCAATTTACTCCAACACTCCTGACGCATACCAATTTGACACTCTCATTCAAAGCAGAAAAGGAGGACATAAACCATTCCTCATCTTCATAAATGTTAACACTCGTAAAGCATATGCATATCCAATGAAAAATAAAGGAACTCGTGAAGTGTTAAGAGTTTTACAAAAGTTTGTAGCAGAACATAACCCAAGTACTTTAACATCAGACCAAGACAGTGCATACCTCAGCAACGAAATCACAGAATTTCTCATTAAGCATAACATAACTCACTACACTACTGAAGACCATAACCATAACATACTCGGTATCATAAACCGCTTCATAAGGACTCTCAGAGATTTAAATCAAGAGCGAGACTTTACCGAAGAAACAATGAAACATTTTCTCGAAGTATATAATTCCTCAACAAATTCTACAACAGGACATACACCAAATTCAATGACACAACAACAAGAAGAAAAGTATATACAAAAGAAACGAAGCCAAACACAAAATATCAGAAATTCAACACAATTTACCCTCATTCCTGGTACAAAAGTTCGTGTAGTTCTTGACGACAAACCGTTGACAAAGAAACGTTTAAGGTTAAGTAGAAACTATTATATCGTAGACTCTACGCAAGGTAATGGATATCTTATAAAAGCTGCCGACGACTCTATTGCGTTTTATCCTCGACATAAATTAGTCGAAAGTAGTAATGGCAAACTTGCTGAAACCATTGACGAAGCAAAGCGAGGAGTGGTTATTGAAATACTTGACTACAACATAAACGATGACACTTATAAAGTAAGATATGAAGGAGGCGTTGAAGATGTTATACCATCTAAGAACTTGAGAGAGTCAAAGCCAACTCATCTGGGACCATTAGAGCGGGAGTACTGGAAAAATAAAAACATGCCAGAAAGAATAAGAAAATTCTTCTAAACTTTTTCATTAGATGTAAATCAGACAAAAATATATTATAGGTGAAGAGGTGAGATATCACCTCTTTTCTCACCTCTTTTCTCACCTCTTTTTTCACAAGCGTTTCACATGAATTGTACGATGTATATTTGAAATTCTAAACAATTTCGTAGCTTCTATTTCTTCTGTCAGTATGTCAAAAGTTTTAACGATACCGAAGGTTTCTTTATACTTCTTCTTGACGTCAGATAGAAGGAAATCTTCTGCTGTTGGATAGTTTTTGTTCAGAAATTCTAACATGTTCATTTTATCTTCTGCTGGCTTTTCTGCTTCTTTCTTTAAGTCTGCATAGTCGTTTCGCATTCTTTCTATCTCTTTGACGGAGTAGTTATATTTCCTCATTGCTGCTTTACATTTTGAACATTGTGGGTTCATTTTTGCATTATATTCTGAAACCTTACCTGCTAAAACAACTAAGGCGTCAATGGTTTTCTTTAACTCAAAAGCAGTTGGTCTTATCTGTTCATTCCATACCTTACCTCTTCTATCTTTATCTCTTATTTCCCAAACACATTTTGCAACTAATGAAACAAAGTTATCGTAGGTCTTAAACTCCCCGGATTTATATATGTCAGAAATGTTTTTATATACCATGTCGCAATCTTTGTCCATAACTTTATGGTTGCAATGAAAACCAAGGAATTCATAATTTACTTTACGTATGAACTTCTTTATTTCTACTGAGTCAGTTGGTTTCACTTCAATTTCGTCGAATTCAGGAATAGTGAGTTTTTGTTGTTGGATTTCAGGCAATTTGGGTAAATGGTCAATAATGTCCTGCATTTCATAAAGATACTGTTCATTTGTTTCATCTTTCACACTACAGTCTAAATTACTTGTTAAAAGTTCTTGCTTTATCTTCTGGATTTTTGTTTCGAAAGTATATGAAGAAGGAATGAAGTTTTTCATTTCTACTAACATAGATGTTGGATTCATGACTAACGAGTTTGGTGCTGTAGTTGTGGACAGAGCCCCACCGTTCGCGGCTTGAATTGTTGTTGTGCCGATTGTTGAAATCATATCTTTACATACAAAATAAAAAAATAAAAAAAAATAAAACTAACATTATTTTTTATTTCATGACAAATTCATGAGGGTGAAAAATTAGGTGAGAAAACAGGTGACATCTCACCTCTTCACCTAAACATGGGCTTCGCCCTTGCCGCTAGCGGCTTATTTTTGGTCAAAGCTTCCACGAGAGAAAAGATTCCTCATTCGCTAAGGATTCCAAAAATGAAAAAATCGTTGATTTCGGCTGAGAAAAAACGGCAAAAACCCTTCTTCCACGGGAACAAAGAAATAAAGAAGAAATAAAGAAGAAATAAAGTAAATTTTTTATTTATTCCCGTGGAAGATAGAGCACTTTTATGACACTTTTTATTCACGACAAACAAGACAAACAAAGAAAATAAGAAAATACGGCGCTGTCGCGGTTCGAACCACAGACCTTGACCCCTCCATAACACCACCTTAGACCACTGTGCTACGTAGCCTGTCGACATAAGATTTTATAAATTGCATATTTGACGTAAATTTATTTCCATCTGGCTTCCCACTGCATAAGATATTCATACGTGTTTGTAAGACATTCATTAAACTTCTTTTCTATTGCATCTAATCTTGCGTTATTTTTTTCAATAACTTGTCTGTATTCTTCATCATCTCCAGCAGTGTTTGGGTCTTCACGTTTAAAATATTCATTGTTAACCATTTTTTATCTACAAATTTTATTAGTGTTTGATTCACTTCGTTATGATAACGGTCATATTCTTTCAATACGTAAGTGAAGACAAAATGCGTCGTACCTTCAATCTTAAAGCTTAAAGAACTTTCAACACAGTTTTGAGGGTCTGTCAGTGCGTCAATGAGATAGTATTCGAAGTCAGTCAATAATCTTTTTAAAGTCATTTCATACAGGATAAAATTTAATGTTGTGAAGAAATAGTGTTTATCTCAAAAAAAATAAAGTTAGTTTTTATTTTATTTATTTTTTTATCCTGTATGTAAAGACAGATATGTCAACATTAGAGAACACAACAACTGCTATCGTTCATGAAGTCATAAATGAAGAATACGAGTACATACAATATAACAAACAATTGAGACTCATTCGTTCTGTCAAAGATGACATGTACCAAATGCAAAGTATTTTGACGGCTTGTTTTGCTCCAGATACTAAGCTTCCTAAAGACTGGTTTAGGAACCAAAGCACTATTGAACTATTAAGTGAAGCACAGCGAGACGTACTTTTTTCTGAAAACAGTGAAGAACAGCGAGTGGGAGGGAAACCCCAGTCGCCAAAACTCTATGAAAACCGTGAAAAATTGCCAAACGGTTTGAGAGGATATTATGTTCATAGACTTTTAGTAAATGTTGTAGCAATGTGGGCTTCACCTCGTTATGCTTGGTATGTTTGTAAACTTCTTGACGAAATTCACAGACAAGAACGCGAACAGATGGAAAAGAAACTTCAAGCAAAAGATGAAGTCATTGAATCCAAAGACAAAAGCATACAGAAAAGAATACCGCGTTCAGTACCAAAAGGAAAGGAAAAGAGTTATAAGTATATGATTTACACTGAAGAGATGGAAAATGAAGAAGATAAAGATATGGTTATGTTGCATTTAGTCAGAAGAAACAACAAAAGCTTTTACGACCTTGCTAAAATATATAAATCTGACAGAAACTGGTTCTATCGTGAAAACTTACCGATTTCAATGACACCGAATGAGCAAATAAAAGAAATTGTCAAAAATACTCTTCCTCAAACACACTATGACATCAAAGGTTGCACAATACTTACCTTCAAAGAAGACTTACCATTACTGAAGGAAAAAATAACAGAATATTTCGATAACTTCAAAGAGGAAGAATGAAGTCACGACAACATTAACGAAGAAGTCACGACAACATTAACGAAGAGAGAATGAGGTGAAAAAACAGGTGACATCTCACCTAGCCGCTTTGCGGCTCTGACCCTTTGGGTCTCTTCACCAAAAATATATTTTTGGTTAAATAGCTTCAGGGTCAATTTCTTCAACCATTTCACTTCCTTCGTCAATGTCAATAGAAGCTTCTTCAACCTTTGGTAAGAATTTCTGTATAACATCTTTGTTCGTTATTGTCTTCAGAGATGAAGGATAATATTTCACAGATGTTTCACCCTTCTTATATTCTTTCTGTTCGGAAAGATTCATAGCAATACTGAAGAAGTCAATGTTGGAGTTCTTTATAACAGTATAATGAGTATCTTTGACATTCACGAAGAAACCCTTTTGTTTCAAAACTACTGCTAACTCTTGTGAAGTATAACGTTTGCGGTCAATGACAATAGCTAATGGTCTGACATACTGACCAAACTTAGATTCTTTCACAAACTTCTTGTTAAAGATAACATTGACGTTTGAAGCATTATTGAACTCATTCTTGATGGCAGTAGCGAGAGCATTGTATGAAAAGAACTTGCAATCTTGCATGTGTTTCATTAAAATAAAAATATTAAATTATTTTGAAAAATAACTTAAAAAAAATCTAATCTAATTTTTCAAAAAATATTTTTTTTTTCCTACTAAAGATGTATCGGAAGTTGTCTAAGTTAGAACACTCGGAAATAAAACAACTTCTTACAGAAGCTAATATAGATGTTGCAAAGCATTACGCACAACAAACAAAAAGGCACTCGCTGACTTCATTAAAGACTATAATGGTGCAATAAGTTATGATAGAATTCATGAGTTCATAAAGCCGCAACGCGGCGAGGACGAAGTCCATGCAAGAGCATTTCCTTTAAATGACGTTGCTATTGACTTATATCATAGACGTTCAATACCTCATGAAGTAAGAAGAGATGTTTGACATAACAAATGCAAACGTTGGTGAAACACGAAAGAGAGATGACACACTGAAACAACAGAGAAGAGAGATGTTTAAAAGTGCTATAGAACAAGTTCGCAAAGCTAACGATGTCATTCGTTCCATTGACGACAAACCAAAAGAAGGTGAGAGATGGTTAAAGAAAGATGAAGAGAATAGGAAGAGAAATGTGAAGTCAGGCAATAGACTCATTGACTTTAACATCGAAGCTTTAGATGAACCAAACAGAGACTACTTACACAAACATTTCGGTAAGGTTTTCATGAGACTCTTAGAGAAAATTAAAATAAACTCCAACAGAGATGGATGGTATGTTATAAACTTGGTGGAAAGTATGAATGTTCTACGTTAAACCTCAATAATATTGGAACATTACTACATCAGCTCTTGAAGGAGAACTTTATATCAGAGATAGAAGCAAATGCTGCAGGTATTGTTGAAATGCACTATGACTTCTTCTTGACAAACATAAAGAATCTTACCGAAATAAAGATGTATGATTTAACAGAATATGAAGGCTTAACGATGTCAGATGTAAAGAAAGGCAAACCAAAAAAGAGACCATATAGAGATGAAAGCACACTGACAAATGACCAGAAAGCCATTTTGGAAGCTCTTAAGCAAACAGGAAACCCAGCACTTATAGAAAGCTTTTGGAAAGATAATGGTGAAAAGAAGTTTTATAAGAAGAGAAGCGGTCAGTTCTGGAAGTATCTTTGCACATTACCTATAAATCTTGAACGCTACCAAATCTTCAATGAACTGAACAAAAGAACTGCAACACTTATGACAGAGGACAATTGTTTCGTTTATGCTTGCATTCAGGCTGGAGTAAATGAAGAAACTATTGACCACATGAGAGAAGTCATTCGTGTTAGAGACTTTCCTCAAAGTAAAGTACAAGAAATTTCTGACAACAGGTATAGCATTTAATGTTACCATTGGTTATTTCAATGACTCAAGACATAATGAAATAAAGAGATATATACCAAAAGAATGCGAAACTGTTAGAACTATTGACTTACTTCTTGTTGAAGACCACTACATGCTAAATGAAAGATTACCAATGACAACATATTCATTCGAAACTATATAGAAATTCTCAAAGCTTGTGGTGGAATGAACATTGAGAAACAGATGAAGATTTATACAAAGAGAGAAGATAAATATGTAGTTCGTTATGATAGAACAACACCGTTATGGGATGTTATGAAAACATTGTGGGAGTGCAAATATTTCGAACCTATTTCTTATGGAGAACTTTTCACATATACTACTGACTTATATAAACAGAACCTTGCACCATTTAAAGATTTGACATATGCTCCAAAGTATTGTGTACAACTGAAGAAGAAAGCAGAGTCAAAAGAAGTAAATAAAGCTAAATGTAAATTCATTCCTGAGCACGTTTTCTTTGCTGACTTTGAGTGTAGTACGATGGCTTTCATAAAGCTTTTAACATCTGTTATGACAGTGAAGATGGTTCAGTGAGTGAAAGCATTTGGGGTCAAAACTGTGCAACAGAATTTTTGGAAAGACTTCCTGACAAGAGTTTAATATATTTCCATAACCTCAGTTATGACATAAACTTCATCTTAAGACACATGACAGAAGTGAAAGGAACTCCCATCATTAAAGGTTCACGAACAATGCAAATAACTGGTTTATATAAAGGACGGGCAATTATTATAAAAGACTCTTACAGTGTTATAAATAAGAAGCTTAAACTATTTCCTGCTATGTTTAACTTACAAACAGGACCGAAAGAAGTATTTCCATATAACTACTACAGCAGTGTTTTGTTAGCAAATGACAACAGAACTGGTGTCATTTCTGAAGCATGTAAGTTTATCCATGATGCAGATACATTTATGAAAACATAGATTCCATCAAAGGTTGCAGAATAGATGAAAACCACTTCGACTTAGAAAAATATAGCACGTTTTACTGCAAACAAGATGTAAGAATTTTAAGAGAAGGTTTTGTAAAGTTCCGCAATGACTTATTGAAAGAGTTTGATTTAAACGTTTATGACTACGTTAGTATTTGTTCTATTGCTAACAAATTGTTTGAGAACAGAGTATACTTCCCGAATGGAAATCTTTATGACCTCTCAAATAAACCAAGAGAATTTATTTCGAGATGCATTCAAGGTGGAAGATGTATGTTGTCAGATAACATGAAACAAAAGAGCAAAAAGAAACTCATTGCTGACTTCGACACTGTTTCATTATATCCTTCAGCTATAGCAAGACTTTATACTTTAGAAGGTATTCCAAAAGTATTGAAGGAAGAAATGTTAAGCACAGAGTATCTCATGAGACATTTATTCGATGACGACCAAAAGGAACCCATTGGTGAAAAATTTATGTCTGGCTTCTTTGTTCTCATTAAGATAACAGAGATTGGTATACCCAGACACTTTCATTTAATAGTTTGCGACCCTGAACTAAATCCAGAACTTAACGTTCCAAGAAGTTCAAACACTTGCTGTCTCATGTATGTTGACCATATAACATTACAAGACCTCATAAAATATCAAGGTGTCAAATGTGAAGTGTTGCAAGGATACTATTACGATGGAAACAGAGATATGAGAATAAGAGATGAAGTAAAGAAGTTGTTTGAGTTAAGGTTAAAGTATAAGAAAGAAGGAAACCCCTTACAAGAAATTATAAAACTCATTCTGAACAGCATTTATGGCAAAACTATTCTATCTCCTATTGAGTCAAAAATAACCATAGTAAATGACAAAGATGCTATAAGATATGCTATAAGAAATTACAACCATATAGTGAAGTTCGAAGGTTTGGATGGTTCAGATAAAACTATTTTCAAGCTAACGAAAAGCATTTGCAGACACTTTAACTTCTGTCCACTTGGTGTTAATATTCTGTCTATGTCAAAACGTATTATGAATGAAGTATTCTGTACTGCTGAAGATATGGGTCTTCAAATCTTTTACCAGGATACCGACAGTATGCACTTATATAATGAAGACATCCCAAAGCTTGCAGCAGAGTTTAAGAAGAGATACGGTAGAGAACTTATAGGAAAGAACCTTGGTCAATTTCATAGCGACTTTGCAGAAATAACACCTGGAAAACAAAGTTTAGCTTATAAAAGTATTTTCTGTGGAAAGAAGACCTACATAGACTTACTCACTAACGATTTAAATGAAGTTGCATTTCACTGCAGAATGAAAGGCGTGAAGCAAGATGTTATTGCTTTAACCGCTAATGAAATGTTTCCTGAAGCTATACAATGCTATTACAATGAAGATAAGAACATTCACATACCTGTTGGAACATATGACAAAGACTCTGAGTTCAGTTTAATGAAACTTTACAAAGCACTTTATGATGGTCAAGAGATTGCATTCGACTTATGTAAGTCATGTCAACCTTGCTTTGCTGAAAAGTTCAACTTTTCAATAACGACTAAAACAAGCTTTATTCGTAAGTTGAAGTTCTGAGGTCATGGGCTTCGCCCTTGCCGCTAGCGGCTTATTTTTGTCAGCAATGAGGTCATGAATGAGGTCATGTTCGCCCTTGCCGCTAGCGGCTTATTTTTGTCAGCAATGAGGTCATTCGTGATAAAAATAAAGCTAGCGTAGATTTTACAATACTGCGATGGTAGAGTTTAAGAGTTGTGCTTCAATGTAGAGACAGTCCTTATCTGGAGGCAAGAACACTGGACATTTATGGTCATGAGTGGAGAACATGTCTATCCAAAACTCACGATTGAAGCCAGTTAATTTATAGTATTTAGGGTTAGGAAGTGGTGAAGTTCTTGTATGACCAATGAACTCATTTTCAACGCCTTTGGCTATATTAGAGTAAAGTATTGCTTGCTTTCTATCCCAAATGCCAGGTGTTACAATCTTTGAAAATTCATTTTTCCTCGGAAGCATTGCATCATAATTGAAAACATTCTTAAAATCATCACTTGGTTCGGAGATTTGAAATCTTATACGTAATGGATTTTCTTTCTTTTTAGCGACTTCATTGAATGGTGAGAATACAATGAATTGACAGTCATGAGTTCCATCTTCATTTTCATTAAATTCATAATGAAAGTCTATAAGTTGTGGCTGACTACCTTCTTCTTTCAGTTGTGCAAGAAACTCACGTAAAGGCTGTAAAGTTTGTACTTCAATGTTGAACTTTTTCTCGAACATCTCATTAAATGAAATCATACATTGCAACAATGTTGTATCGTCTTTAAAGTATTTGTATATGTGAATGTTTTGGGCGCTTAAAGACTGTTCGTCATTTTCTATCTCGACTTGAAGTATAAAGTCAACCTTTCTGAAAGCACGTGTTATATACATAGATGTTATGCCAATGTACTTCTCTTCATTTATGTTCACAATCCAGTCTGTTGGAAACTTAAACGTTACTCTGTTCCCCTTTATTTTGACGTCAGGGTTTTCACTACTGAACGCAACAGATAAAGGTATTTGTCTATACATTTAGTTCGGATAAAAATAAACCATTTACTCTTTCTTTGCTTCAGCTTCTTTAGCTTTTGCTTCAGCTTCTTCTCTAGCTTTTTTGCCAGCAAACGTGGGTTCTTTTGTCTTCCAGCAGCTAATGCAGCAAGTTGTTTTTCACTAAGTTTTCTCTTTGGTCTCTCTGGCTTTTGTTCTTGTTTTTGTTCCTTCAGTTCGGATAAAATTTGCTCGGAATTTCTTTCTTCAATGCTTCAACATCTATGACCCCTTGGGTCTTGTCCGTAGGGCTTGTCTGAGTCATTTGACTGTAGATAAAAAACTAAATTAAAACTTTAACCGATGTAAAATGAGCTTGTCAAAATCAGAGCGAGAGTCTATTATATTAAATGACGCAAGAGGAATACAACATCCTTTCTATTACGTAAGTCAGAGTAAAGATGGTAAAATATAGTAAGAAAAAGAAAGGTTCCATTAGCGAATGCAGAGAGCGACAACATTAAGGTGCATGGCAAGGGTGAAGTCCACGAAGCCCATATAAAACCTTCTGTTCAAACTGAGCCAAAAACAAGAAGAAAAGAAGCCAGATGTACTTTCAATAACGAACCAAGAGCTTATTGCAAAGTTCGTGAATTTCATTGAAAAACAAACCGAGTCAAAGAACCCTGACCCGCCAGTGAAAGAAGTTGAGACAAAAGAGAATGTACAGTTCATTGAAAATGTCAAGAAACAACTTCCACCACGAATGCCAAGAAGAAGAGTGAGAATAATGAAGTAAATAGATATTTTTATCTGAAGTAAATACATGCAGAACGAACAGTAAACGAATTTACTCCAGCAGAGCATATTCATCAGATTCGCTCATATTTCGATATCATAGACAATGCAGTTCAAATTGGTGACACTAATAGAAAATATTCTGACGCAAAGATTCCATCACAACCTGGAACTGCTAAAGATAACACATGGGTAACATTCAATCTCTCACCTCCTGGTGAAAATATGTTGGACCTTTACAATACATTCATTACGTATAAAATGGAAGGTCAATTTATTGCAGATAAAGAAATTGGTTCAGGTTCCAATAAAACAAACCCACCAGGATTTTGGATTGGTTTCGATGACGCTTTCTATGCAGTTGCTGGATATCAAATCCTTGCAAATGGTCGTATCGTATATTCTCAAGACAACGCAAGAAAGAAGCATATATAACTTCAAACTCACAAACTACCGAACAAATAAAGAAAGTAGATGTTTTCTCAAAGACTCGACATGAAGATGTATGGAGTCATTCGGGAACATGCAGAACAGGACAAATTGTTAGTGGTCCAATTACAGCAGGAAAATCATTTGATTTTAAGCTTCGTTTAAGAATTCCTGTTAGAAGATTCTTCCATTAGAAGCTATTCGATTTATTCCAGCTTTTGCAGGAAACATTCAGCTTAAAGTAAAGTTCAGTAGCGACGCCTTACAATGCACATCTATATCTGTAAATGATATCATTGCTTTCAATCCAACTCTTAAAGTTGCATTTGCTTCAGATTCAAATCCACCGACAAATAAATTTGTTCCATGGAATGAACCATTCACTATGATAACGAAGGCAGTAGAAGCTAGTGGAACAGTTACTATTACAACTGTAACCAGCAACTATTTCGAACAAAAGATGGATTTTAATGAATGTTTCATTCATCCAAAATCATTCTCTTTAGACCCTAACATTTATACAGAACTTGTAGAACATTATACAAACGAGGCTTTATGTTTTTCCTGTTAAAGTTATGGATTGGATTCCTATGGACGGTTCATTCTCAAAATACAGATAGTTCAAGTGCAACATTTACAGCAGCTTATACGCCTATTAATGTTAAAAGTATTTGGGCACTATTTAGAAAGAAAAGACAACTATTATGTTAATTTGAGAACCCTAAGTTTAAATATCTTCAGCTTTCCATGGGAGCTTATGGAAATATGCCTGCAGAACCCGAAAAATCATATGGACCTGTATTTTATGAAATGGTTGCGAACGCTTGCAATACAAACAATGATATGATAGGATTTAATGAAGATGTTATGAGGTCATTGGTGGATGATGGTAGTGTGGAACATAAATGGGATAGCTATGACAACACACATTTCTTATGTGGTTTTCCAACAGAAGTGGACTTTTGCTTCCAGCAAGGTCAAACATCTACTGCTCCAATAACATACAAATTGTCTGTTAAAGGACCTATTGAACTAGCAACTGAAAACGTACCAAAGCCACTTATTGGATTTATGAGGGATTGTTGCTTTGCAATACAAGTAAGACAGTCAGGCATACCAATAATAAGACTTGACGACTATAACTTAGCAACTGACGACAGTGAGGAATAAAGGATGAACGTTTATTTTTAAAGCTTATAAATGAGTTCTTCATCAAGCTCTCGTGAACCTTCACCATCTGTGAAACAAACTTTACCAAACGATTATGGAGCACCTATTGAATATTTCTTACGAGCTGCACAATGGCAAAGAGCAGTTTCACCAAGGTTAGGTGTTCCACCAGCTCCTGTCAAAAATAGCATTTGGTCAAGTCCTTATATAAGATATGGTCTCCCACTAGGTTTGCTAGCTACAGCAGGAGCAGTAATGATGTTGAAAAGAAATAAAGCAAATGTTATAAATAATACTGAAGTAGCTGAATTTGAACAAACTCCGACACCATCGCCAAAACCAACGTCAAAACCAACGCCTTCACAAACAACACCTTCAATGACTCCTGAACCTATGGAAGTACAAACTCCTGTTCAAAAGTCAACTCCAAAACCGACTCCAACATTTAAACCAGAACCTACTCCTCAAATAAATCGTAAAACTCCTGCGTTTCCTTACTGAAAAAATAATGTTATTTTTATTTAATATTAAAATTTTATTTAGAGTAAAATGACGACTAAAGTCACTGAAGCAATGAAACAAAAATTTTTGGTAGAATACATTAAATCAGGAGCGGTTCCAGAAGGTTTTTACGTTCATACTATGAAGGATGGTAGAGTTCAGTTTAGAAAGATAAAGCAACCATTAGATAGAGAAGGTATATTAAGGAAGATTAAACTTCATGAGGACAACATTGCTGAACTTAGGAAGAAGTTAGAAGAGTTGGAGAAAGGAAGAGAGTTATAAAGTAATGAATTCAAGTGGGTGAAAAAAGAGGTGAGATTTCACCACTTCACCTAAATTTATTTTTGTGCTATGTTTTCATACGTGTGAGGGTGGTGATATCATTAATTTTTAAGTTTATTTTTTAAAATTATTTTTTATTTTATTTGGATGTAAATGACGAAAACTATTGAGATAACAAACTACAACGGTCATGAGTTCAAGAATTTGTTCTTCGTTCCTCGTGAAAATACATTCTATCAGATACGAGGGAGAAAGGGTAAAGTTAGTTTGAGCGTTTATGAAGGAATGAAGAATGGAAAGTTTATACAAGCATACGATACAAACGGTAAGCGTGTTTCATTAGCTTTGTCAAAACTTACTAACATTTATTTTGACAGTGACTTTGACTCTGACGATTGGAGCGACAGCAGCGATACTGAAGAATATGAACTATTGTGTGAAGCACAGCAATGGGAAGAGTTGCAATACTTTTGTAAGTGAGAACGTTTATTTTTACAGTAGTGAGGTGAAGTGGTTGGCAGCTTTATAAATATTTAAGGTTAAGTTGGTGTTTGTGTTTGTGTTGTAAAATATACGTTAACGGTTTTGTAAAGTGTCAAATTCACAAGTATTGCGTATGGAGGAACGCAGTGCCTCCGTACACGAGACTTGTATACTAACTTTCTTCTCTTGGATAGTATTTGCCATCTATGTTTATATGGTATTTAATACCGGGGTTGTAGAAACAAGAATAGTCATTTATAGTTCGTCTGAAAAGAACAAACATAGTATCTGCATGTTTCATTGCAGTTGTTAAGGCAATATCTGTTCTTGCACCTGGGTCAGCACTTTGGTTTCCAACTTCACCTGCAAAGTCTTTG